ATATTTTTAGCTCCCTTAAGCATTTTTTCCATTGTCTACAAAACAAACCATCATTATACAATGACTTGCCTAACTGACCTAGATAAGCCTTTAAGTGTCACTTAAAGCTGAATACTAGTCTCTTGAAAATGTTCTAGTACAATATTATGTACTGTCATCATGGCAAAGATAAAATAAATCAGTTTTAAAACTACTATGTTTAGAAATGCTTTAAAAAAAACTTATTTTCATCAAACTGAAATTTGTGGGAAAAAAGTACAGGGGGCTAATAATTCAGACTTCAATTGTACTTAGTGATAATATCAAACACCATGCACTTTTCTTAAGAAGATTAGATTTTGGTTTGCATGTGATTATGCATAATTTTCTATAGTAAGCACATGTGCAACAAGGTCCCGGTAAAATAAAGTGTTATATATATGATTCAGCATTTCACTGAAAACTGACAAACACTGTGATGACCACTCGGTTGATTAACTGCATAATTACACATTGAGATGGGCAGGACAGTTGTTCCTTTTGAGATGTTCAATTTCAAATTGCGCATTAAGTCGTCACAACACCAAGAACTTGTTTTAAAATTGTTTTTTAAAACAACTTTGAAAGGGTTGTCAAAAGAAGTGACTTGCTGGACTAATCAGTAGGTTAAAGTCAATGTGAATCGGAAGTTATTGCAGACTGTTATGTCAGTTTAAAGACGTATTTCCAATTAAAACTGAATATCGAGTAGGGGCGGAGCTTTATTATTTAGCTCCTCCTCTCATCTTTCATTTGCTGCAAACTAACACTTGAAGGGGCGTGGCTTAACATATTTACAGGAGGACTGTCATTTCAGACAGGAAGCATTCATTTTCCTTCTTCTAAAGCTGTGGTCACACTAAAGTTTGTGTGCGAAGTTCTGTCGCATGGCGTTGCAAAATGGGCAGGACTAAACAAGATGATTAAACAATTAAAAAAGGGAGCGATTGGTCCATGTTTTACATTTCTGTCCAGAGAGGTCATGTGTTGATCCTAGCGTGTTTCACACAATCATGTGATTCGATTTCGCAGGTCAGAGTTCACAAAGCTTGAACTTTCCAACGCATCGAAATGCGAAACTTGCAGCACGAGCTTGCAATTCCGGTCTAACACATTTGCGTGCTTTTGAATGGAAGTCTATGGGAAGAAAAGTGCAGTGTGACCACAACTTTAATCCCTTCTTGCTGTAAGGCAACTGTGCTGACCACTGAGCCACCAGAAAGGAAGAAAATGGTCAGTTTTTGACTAAAGCTGACCAAAATACTTGCTTTTTTTTCCCTCCAGTGGATTAACTTGCACATTTTAACTGTTCACCTAAAGCCTAACAATGTGTGTTAGCCATATAAACACTGAAATTTTATTTCATATGGACTTTACACACCTAATTTGCCATGGTGTTTACTTTTCAACAGATTTGCCTGTGTTTGGCTACAATGATCATTTCTGGACACTGATCCAGACATCGGAGCATTTGAAAAGGCGCTTTAAATGTTAGAGGTAAAAGGACACCTTAAAAATTATTATTTTTAATATAAAGCCGATACTTTTGACAACACTATAAATGTCAGTAAGTGAAATGCTCTAGACTCTCATTGGCATAAATACACATGTATGTGTGAAATGGTCAAAATAACATTAGTAAAGAAGGGTGAAACATCCTAAAGCCCAAAGCATACTTCAGATTTTATCAGTACACTACATTATGAGAATAGTGTGCATCATGTGACGCTCACAACCCATTTATTTCAACCGCTCATACAACATAAGCACTGATCACACCTGCAGCTTCAGGTGTTTTTACATCCTTTAATTTGTTCACAAAGCGTCAACACTTAAAGCCCTGGTATGCTTCACACACTATCGAAGAAAAAAAAACTGAAATGACATCATTCTGAGCAAAATCCAGCCAAAACGAGCTATTTATAAGCTTGTTTTGGTAGTTTAAAACAGCCCACCAAAACCAATTGTTTAAGGGGATTTCTTTTTGGTCCCAAACTCCTTTGAGCTACCATTAGTCCATGTCGATTACGCAATCAATGGGTGTGTTCCGGAACACAGAACTGCCATCTTAGACGTGATTTGGAGATCAGAATCAAACAGGAGAAAAATATCCAGCACACCATTGTTACAGTCGGTGTCTGTCCACTGCAAATGTAAAGCAATGTAGCATACGGCGGAGACGATTTCGATGAAGAAGGCTGTTGTCAGATATTTAAAAAAAACTACATCCTTTCTCAACTGCCACTGTTGTATGTAGCAGTAGCCTAAACTCAAGCAGACACTTAAAAAAAAAAACCCTGTCTCTTGCAGTGTGGGGTTGTCGGAGTGTTCGAAAACAGTCACTTAGCCTTTGCGAAATTCTTTATATTCTTACGAGGACCGAAAAAAAAAGCTCAGTTTAAAGTATACCAAAGCCTTTAACCTGTTTGTTTCACAGTTGGAACTTAAAAACCAGAACAAAAACAGCAACAGACTGTTGAGGCAACAATAAAAAAAACACTTTGTTCGATACACTTGTTTGGAAATGTGAAAGATTACTAGAACTCTAAGCTTTAATAAGTAAAAATTTAAAGATGTTTCAAAAGACCTTATCACACACCGTTTAAAGAGGAAAAATACTGAAAGATAAATATTGTGCAATTGGTGCTACAATGAGTGTGTTGTGAGATTTGAAAGGTCACCACAAAGTACAAACTATGAGGGTAAAATTCCTGCCTGAACTTGCGAAGAAACGTAACAACGTCTGTCAGAAAAGTGGCTAATCATACAAAAAGATAGAAAATTCATCCGCATGAAAATGCACGAGAGTATCACGGTGGCGCAATGAGTAGCACAATCACCTCACAGCAAGAAGGTCGCCAGTTCGAGCCTTGGCTGGGTCAGTTGGCATTTCTGTGTGGAGTTTGTATGTTCTTCCCGTGTTTGCGTGGGTTTCCTCCGGGTGCTCCAGTTTCCCCCACAAGTCAAAAAGGCATGTGCTATAGATGAATTGGGTAAGCTAAATTGTCCGTAGTGTATGAGTGTGAATAGGAGTGTATGGAAGTAGAGAGCCGCAGGACCCAACCAGATTTCTGCGGCGCGGGAATAAATTTCAGAATAAAGTGCGGGAGCAGTCGGTAACGGGTTTAATTTGGGACGAGAGCGGGCCGTCTAGCAATATCGCTCCCGACTCCCAAGCACGCGTATGTATGTGTGTGAATGAAACAGCGCGATGCTGTGTTTAGCTTGTTTGTTGCTGTGTTTGTGTGCATGCGCAAATGAAATATATGTGTGTGTGTATGTGCGCGAATGAGAGAGAGAGAGCTTTGTCTGTGTGTGTGTTAATACAGAATCTGTGTTAATACAGAATCTGGACTCTGTATAGCTGAGTGGTTTTCGGTTTTGGTCTCCCCGCGCTCTTTAGCGGGATCGGGCACGGCGGGTAGAAAATGGGGTGGGTTGGGCAGCGGGACATCAAATGCTGAATATAAGCGGGAGCGGTCGGGTTCGGGCTAAAACCTGGCGGGAGCGGGATTCAATATTAAGTAGCAGATCTCTATATGGATGTTTCCCAGTTATAGGTTGTGGCTGAAAGTTGGCGGTCCATTCCGCTGTGGCGACCACAGATTAATAAAGGAACTTAGCTGAAAAGAAAATTAATGAATGAAAAAGCACGATTATAAAATATCATCATTGATGGATGAGGAAAATCATACAAAAATGTACAAAATCGGCGCCAATGTTGTATCGGTTAGTGCGTCAACAAGTGGAGTTTGATTCCTGCCACGAGGTCCAATGCTGATCCTTCCCCTCTCTTTTCTCCCCGTGATTTCCTGTCTATACTCTACTGTCCTATCAATTAAAGGTAGGGCAGTGTGATTTAGGGAAATATCTGATTCAATTTGCGATTTAATTTTGTATTCAAGCATCAGCTCTATAATCTGTAAACTGTAGCAACAATTCTGTGACAGCTCTTAAAGATGTTTTGTTCAGCTCTTACCTGTTTTTGTTTGGTGTCTGTGACTTTGAAACTAAAATATTCCCATATTACAGATGACCTGTCCAGACACTATTATGCTAATTGTCCACACTTTCCTGTATTTTTTATTTATTTTTTTTATTTTGGTCGTTCTTCATAGTTCGGTTGCTCAATTCTGATTGGGCAGAACGAAAGTGTGATTACTCAATTGGCTAGTTAAACTATCACACACAGACGGCAGTCACACATTTGCTCTGGGTGGGGAAATTAAAAAGCGCATATACAGTTGAAGTGAGAATTATTCGCCCCCCCTCAAATATTCACTCCCGTTTATTTTCCCCCCAATTTCTGTTTAACGGAGAGCAGATTTTTTTAAACACATTTCTAATCATTTCTAATAACTGATTTATTTTATCTTTGCCATGATGACAGTAAATAATATTTGACTAGATATTTTTCAAGACACTTCTATACAGCTTAAAGTGACATTTAAAGGCTTAACTAGGTTAATCAGGTTAACTAAGCAGGTTAGGGTAATTAGGCAAGTTATTGTATAATGATGTCATGTTCTGTAGACTATCAAAAAAAGAATTGCTTAAAGGGGCTAATAATTGACTCTAAAATGGTTTTAATAAAAATTAAAAACTGCTTTTATTCTAGCCGAAATAAAACAAATAAGACCTTCTCCAGAATAAAAAATAATACCAGGCATACTTTCCTTGCTCTGTAATTGAAATAATTTTGACTTCAACTGTATATTTCACATCACAGCCTCTAGCGATTAGCTAATCGCAACGCTTAAAATTGCGATTCAATTTCAATTAATCACACAGCCCTAATTAAAGATGAAAATAACAATAAACAAATGTACAAATTAAATCTACAATTTCGTACAAATTAGCCATCATATTGAAAAGTTACGAATTGCTGTACTCCTTTGGAAATTCTAGATTTTCTTTAAGCTTACCAACTTGTGAACGAGTTTACAAAAAAAAACGACAGATCCAATGGATGTGTCCCTGTATTAGCATGACATTTAATAAAATAAAGTTATTTATTTTAATAAAAATAAACAGTGTACAAATTACTATTTTATTGTAAAAACAGCCTACACTTCAAAAAATTAAGCATTAAAGACGTAGTGTTAAATAATCTCTTAATTGTGAGCAGAAAAGGATATTCGGTAACTTGCTCAAACCAAAGTGATCTGACTAATAACTCTTTTCTAGGATTTGACGAATATCAAATAAAATTTACAGTAAAGTCTGTTTGATAGTGTGCATAGTGTACACATAAATAAAAAAGAGGTATACTTTGGGCTTGAAGGTGCTCAGGTTTCACTCCTACCCTTAAAGCGGGCCGACAATAAGGCTTGATTCAGAAATGTACCGACAAAGTAAGTTCAAAACCACAACCATTCACAAGACCCAGAGAATGTTGCTTTCAAAACAAAAGAACATTACAGATCCGTCTTATTGATTTGCATTCAGATCAAGCTATTTACAGCGTTTGAGAGACAGTCTGCGCGGCCGAGACGCCGGAGGAGACGTGTCTAGGTCCCCTCGGGGCTTTGAGCTGGTGAATGTGCTCTTTCATAAACCGCTGCCATTCAGTCGAGCAGCCTCAGACTTGGCCGTTTGTTGTCCTGGGTCTCACTGGGGACGACTAAAAGCATCTTATGAAGACTCTGCTTCAGCTTTCCGGCCTTAAATAAAATAAAAAAACAAGAGGCGACAATTAGACAAACAGGACTGAAACTGTTTAGCACAGCGCTGTGTGACAGTATTGATTTCAGATTTATGCATTTGGCAGACAATTCTGTACAAAGTGACACACACTGCATTTAGAAAGCGTTGATTTTATCACTTTACACACCAGGGATCAAAACCATGACCTGTTACTAGGACTGTTTGGCAGTCCCATCATCGCTTTATGCTGTTCACAGAAAGACAGATGCTGTGTTTAAACACTCACAAGTCCTTGGATCAGTTTAAAACAGTGGTCTCAAATTCAATTCCTGGAGGGCCGCAGCTCTGCACAGTTTAGCACCAAACACCTCCAAATCACACCTGCTTAATAGTCTTGAACAACTTGATTAGTTTGATCAGCTGTGATTGATTAGGGTTGGAGCAAAACTGCAGAGCTGCGGCCTTCTAAGAACTGAGTTTGAGACCTATGGTTTACAGCAGGGGTGCCAAAACTCGGTCTTGAAGGGCCAGTGCCCTGAAAAGTTTAGCTCCAACTTGCTTCAAAACACCTGCCAGGATGTTTCTAGTATATCCAAGAGCTTGATTAGCCGGTTCAGGTGTGTTTGATTGGAGTTGGAGCTAAACTTTCCAGGACACCGGCTCTCCAGGACCGAGTTTGGGCACCCCTGGTTTAAAGAGACAGTTCACCCAAATTTTTAAATTTACTGTCTCTCAAAAGGTTACACATTTAAATGAGTTTCTTTCTCCAGTTGAACACAAAGACTCTTCTATAGGGTTCATACACATTTTACCACCAAATTTCTAATACTTTTCCAGAACTTTCGAGAACATTTTCATGACGTAATGTCTACATATACATGGTAAATAATAAGAAAAACAATGACGTTCAAATTTATTACAGCATATCAAAGAACACGCAACAATCTATTTTGTTTGCATTTGTTTTATATCTATGTAAAATTGATTTTGATAATGCTTAAACAGCACTAACATTGAGAGAGTTTTTGGCCAATAACAGAAAAGAAGTACAGACAACTAACCTATATTCAAGTTAGGGCTGCACAAAATATCGTTTTAGAATCAATATCGCAATGTGTGCATCTGCAACAGTCACATCGCAGGATATGCAATGTTGAGATAATAGTTTAATATAGAGTTTAATCATAATGGAGTAAAGTTTATCATCTGCCTGCATCTTTACAGAGATAGTTCACCCAAAATGTTTTTAATAAACACAAAAAGAATATAATTTCCTATTGTACTGAAACAGGTGAAGTGTGAATAAATAGTGAGAACATTTAAATCTTTGAGTGAACTGTCCCTTTAAGGCCTGTGACCGTGTGAACATTTCAATATATCAGAGTTTAAAACATCCGGCCACAAGAAACATTTTGTAACTTTAATAAAGATTAAATAATAAACAATGAAGACTATGCAGTGCTGATTATTCAATATCTGTAACTTAATAGTGAATACCTGAACACTATCATTCACTTTTATCTTTACTATATTTTATTTATCTCTGCTTGTAATTTATTTGTTATATATTATTCGAGAATCCCTCCTCCAAAATACCCACAATCAATCCAAATAAACCTGTTATATCATCTGGTGAAATTGTATTCACATCGAATTATATATTACAGAAATACAAAATACCGTAATGTCAGATTTTTCCAATATTGCGCAGCCCTGATTCAAGTGTACAGATGTTTGTTAAACAAATTTACATGACTTTTCCAAAACTTTGTGGATTTTTCTGTTTTTCCTAAACTTTTCCAGGCCTGGAAATTGCTATGTCAAAATTCCATGACTTTTCCAGGTTTTCCAAGACCTGTATATAGCAGGAAAAACAAATACTATAGAAGTCAATATAGTTACAGGTTTCCAGCCTTTTTTAAAACATCTTCCTTTGTTTTTAATAGAAGAAAGTTGGCATTTCTGTGTGGAGTTTGCATGTTCTCCCCGTGTTGGTGAGGGTTTCCAACGGGTGCTCTGGTTTCCCCCACAAGTCCAAAGACGTGTGGCATAGGTGAATTGGTTATGCTAAAATTGACCTTGGTGTATGTGTGAATGAGTGAGTGTGTGTGGATGTTTCCCAGGGATGGGTTGCAGCTGGAAGGGCATCCGCTGTGTCAAACATATGCTGGATAAGTTGGCGGTTCATTCCGCTGTGGCGACTCCAGATTAATAAAGGGACTAAGCCGAAAAGAAAATGAATGAATGAACTTGAGAGGTGCCAAAACGAAGACATTTTCCAGTTTTCCTTCACTCTGCAAGACTTAGACATAAGGAACTACTTTTCATTTAAAGTCATTTAAAGTCAAGTTCGCTACGAGTTCACTGTAATAATATTAATCAAGGCTTTGCAAATAATCGAAATCAGTTTAGATTCTGGCCTACATGTTTATGGAAAACAAAATAGGGGAAAAAAACGGTTTTAAAATTGCCTCACATCTCTCTAAATTTCTCTACATTCATACATCTTCAAAGTCTGATTGCAGTGAAATCATGTAATTGACTTTTGCAGCATTGGATGTGCTTCATTAATTATTAGTATTATTAATATCTAAAGTCTTGATTAATGCTTTTTAAATTGCAAAAAAGAATTTGTGCTGTTCTAGGGACGTACTGTATGTCCCCACCAATGTCAAGAGCAAATGTACAGCCTTGGTCTATGGGCCGAAAAGTGCAGTGTGACCGCGGCTTTACCTGCAGGTTTCAAACAAGCCTGAAGAACTCAATTAGTTTGTTCAGGTGTGCTTAATTAGGGTTAAAACTAAACTGTGCAGAGCTTCGGCCATCAAAAGAACCAAGTTTGACAACTGTGTAAAAGGTACAGTTCACCCAAAAATGAAAATGTACTCACTGTCAAGTGGTTCCAAACCTTTGTGTGTTTTATGAAAAGAGGAGACTGTTGAAGAGTCTTTGTGTTCTTTGTGTATTATTATGTTGAACACTAAAGAAGGTATTCTGAAGAAAGCTAAAAAACCTGTAACCATTGACATCCATAGTAGGAAAAACAAATACTATAGAAGTCAATGATTACAGCTTTCTTCCTATGCGTTTACAAGAACAAAGAAACTCATAAAGGTTAAAACAAGTAAAAGGTGAGAAAATTATGAGAATTTGTCCCTTTCACAAGCTCAACAGAAATATAAGGGATTGGCTGGAATTGCTATCAACTATCAATCTCAGAAACATTCAAATCTAGCAATTAATGTAAGGTGTTTGAGTGTCTTACGTGTGCAGAGTGCACTGAGGTTTTGCAGGGATCCTCCAGACGAGAAGAAAGCCCAGATGCCCATCAGCAGAGTAATGCAATACACTGGAGGCAGACTGCCTTCATACAGCGGGTTCAAGAGAGACTGAAGACAGAAACAGACACCATCTGTAACTCACAGCTTTTTAGACTTCTAAAAGACATACAGTTAAAGACATAATCATTACCCCCCTTGTGAAATCGAAATTTTTTAATACTAATAAAAACTGGTAACATTATGGGCCCTATCATACACCCGGCGCAAAAAGGTGCAAGACCTGTTTGCCCCGACGAGTTGCTATTTTCAGACCAACGCAAACTTAATTTTCCCGTTTTCCGCCACTTTGTTTAAATAGCAAATCCTTGTTGTGTGCCTCGCTTACACAGTTTAAAACATGCAGGATGTACAGCAATACACAAATATCTCTACAAATGAAAAAGAATAAAAGGATTAAAATCTAAAAAAAAAAAAATTTCCACATTTATATACAAACCACTGCCTTCATCTCTAGGGGCTTTGTTAATTTATTCATGACAATTTGCTTTTGTATATGTTATTATTAGTAGTTTTATTTATTATATGCATGTTTATATTTGTTTTATTAAAAACAAACTTAGATTTGTCCACATGTCGGGTTTTGGACCATATGTGGCATAGCATGTGTATTTGGAAATAACTCATTTTTTGCCCAGACTTCGTTATTTTTGTTCATTTATTCGTTTGGTGGAAATTAAAACTGAATTTAGAAATAGTTTATAAACGAATCTCTGAGCTTAACAAACTAAATTATGTAGGCTAATGGATGTTTGTGCGAATAACACGTTTCCTTATCCACAAAAGAGAAAAAGTCAAAGTAAGAGTAAAGGTCGATTGGAGGAGGCTCATTCTTTGTCCTCTTGCTGCAGATGCTGTTTAACTCACTATTAACTCGCTGTTTTTCTCAGTAGTGAAGCGTTCAGTTCTTCCACTTACAAAATAGCAAATGCGCTATGGTGCAACACAACCGACTCTTAAAGGGAATGGGAGATGAGACTGATTGGTTTATGCTCAAAACACATCTATAAACTCATTAAGAGAATAAGCTCAACCCTGTTAGACCATGCAGTCCTTAAAATAGCAAAAGCAGATTCGGAAACACCCTTAATGCTTTTGGGCTGCTTGCTTCAGACTTTGTGCCTAGATTGTTAAAATAAAACCCTTTTTTTTGATGGTCCATTTGAGTTATTAGTAGACTGTCTGCTTAATATCTGTTGATACTGCTCCTTCAACAGACATTTAACTGACTATAAGAACTTTGCAAGTACATGTCAACTTACACTAACACTAAACCTAAACTAAGAGTCTACTTATAATCTAATGAGAATTAGTTGGCATGTAGATGCAATGTAACTTAAATTCAATAAACGGCCCATCAAAATAAAGTGACCAAATAATTAAATATACAACAACAGTATTTTATATTATTTTTTCTTCTGGAGAATTCTTAATTTTATATTATTTTATAAATGTTTTAATATTAAATTATTGTTTTTTTTTTTGTCTGAAATAAAAATGTAAAAACTGCAAAAAGAAAAGTGAATATTATTTGCCCACATTATTATTTTTTGATTGGCTGCAGAACAGACCTCTGTTGTCCAAGGACTTTCCCAATTAATCCAACTTTTAGTTAACATAATTTTAAGCCTAAAACTGCATTTTAATACTAGTATTTTGCACAATAACTATTAAAGAATTACATTTTCACAGGAGGGCTTTTAATTTGTCTTCAACTGTAGTAAGTGATGCATATCATCAACAAATTGCGACCAAATAGATGCATTTAATATTTAAAACGCATGTTTATGTAATTTAGAAAGGTAATAACAAGGCCAAAGTCTGACAAGCTGTAAAAAAACAATCTCTGAGCAATAACATTTTCTGTGGGAAGTTTATATACACCCGGAAGCGCTCAGATAATTCCAGCTGTGCATGTAAAAGTGATACACCTGTGACCTCTTAATACTTTCAGTTCTGCTCTGTAATGTGAACCTCGGCTGATGCTTCTAGATGAAACGGGAAACATCTGAGCTGATGTGGAACGATATGAACAAACCTTTCTAAACCAGCATAACCATTTAATAGCACACATTTCGGGTTACTTCAGACTATCAAAAGCTACAGATTGGAGTTTCTACAGTAGATTATGTAGAGTTTAAAAGTGTTTTATTTGTTTTTGAATGAGGTCTCAAGTGCTTATCAAGGCTGCATATACAGCTGAAGTCAAAATGATTAGGCCTCCTGTTCAAGTTTTTCACAAATGATGTTTAACACAGCCAGGATTTTCTTTTCCACAGTATTTCCTATGATATATTTTCTTCAGGAGAAAGTTTATTTGTTTTATTTCAGCTATAATAAAAACATTTTGATGGGGTGGTCCACTATGATATCATATTTTTAACTTTAGTTGATGTGTAATGATGCTGTGTGAACATAAACAATATCTCTGAATGTAATATGCTCAAAGTTCAATGCAAAGGGAGATATTGGCTTTTACAGAGTTAGCTTAGCAAAGCCTAAGAAAGTTTGGGGACTACAAACAAACGCATCCGGGACAGTGAGATCACAAATGCTACAGGTTATGCCGAGTTCAGACTGCATGATTTTTAAAGTAATCATGTCACTATTTGGGCTAGCGTTCTGTCGGTCCTGTGTTTACACTGTAGGATGGATCGACGACAGGAGAATTCACACTGCATGACTTTAAAATAGGAAGAATCACAGACAACTGTCCAAAATACGTCTCACAACCAAACAAACGTGAGAAATGATTTGAAAACAACGTTAGGTCACATAATATATCTTTCGTTATTAACCAGTTAAACTCTGTGTGCCCGGTACCAGGGACAAAATGACGTCATCGGGAGAATAACTATAGATTTAAGAGGTCTGTCTGCATCAATAACACAATATGACCTACTGGGTGAAAGCTTAGAATGTTTATTTTCAGCTGATACACATCACTTTGATATTTGTTGTACTGTAACGAAGTTATTTACACTTAATTTACACTCGATGTATAATATCTACACTTAATTTACACTCGATGTATAATATCTATCTTTTTTTACTTTTTGACCTAATTGTGATATTATTCAGATGACACGTCAAACAGACACAGTGCTTCTGCCAAATTTACACTAGTTTTTCCTCCATTTCTTGGGTCAAAAAAAACTGAAAATAAGCGCTGCTCTCTCATTGGCTGAATGTGATCGCGGATATTACTTTCAGTCAAAACACATTTCACATGGTATGATTTAAATCGCCGACAGCTCCAGATAGTTAGCATGCCAAATATCTCACGGGCGTCAGCGACTCATTATCGATTCTCTTAGATCGCGTCTTTGATAGTTCATGCTGTGTGATTGTCACTCACGTGAACGAGAACTGATTTGCCTGTAATTTCAGGCATTTGTCTGCGATTTCTCAAAAACTGTCGGTGAGTCACAATCAGGGCTAAAATCACACAGTCTGAACTCGGCATTATGCTCATTCACCCTGTGCAGTGTAGGGGTCTGGCCAGAGGCGCTGTAATGTTATAGCACAGAAAGATAAAATGCGGTCCAAACGCTGCTATTTGCACAGCGCTTCTTCTGTTTCTGTATTTTAGCAACCAAAGGACACGACAAAAAGAGCGAAGTGCTTACAGCTTAATTTTAACTATGTTCCAGAGAATTATAAATCAGATATAGCTCTAGCATTTGACAAAGGAGAGCTTCCAGAATCTCTCCCATTTCAGTGCTGGATACGGTTAAAAACTCCTCAAAGGAGGAGCTTCAACAATAATAGGTGACGCTGTGGATTGTGAGCCACACCCTGTAAATATTTTTATTTGTTAAAATTTATCAATTACACGCACAGCGTTTAGCGTTAACGCAATGTTGTAGCAAAGATGTAAACAAGGATGTAAACAACGAAAAATGCTGAAATGCTGTTCGGCACCGTTAACAATTTAGCTACAAGTTAATATTTATCCGTCAAACCACTGTAAACACGCACAGTCTTCACCAGGACTGCAGTGTCTCTCTATGCAGCCACTTTCCCTGTCTGACAAATCTGACACTTGTCAGATTTTATTTTAGAGAGCAGACATGAGGTTCAGCTGTGTCCTCTTCATTTTCTGAATCAGGCTCAAACTGATACGGCTAACAGTTATACTGACTGACAGTATTTACACAGCAGAGGCAAAGCATGTGTTAGTAGAGGCTTGACGCTTTCTGCCAAGCCGCGAATCACAGCACATTATGTTAACTGACCAATCAGAGCCTTTTAAGGGCAGGCCTTTCAGAGGAAATAGGAAATATGACAGACATTTCCATGTTAGCTGAGTAGCTGTATATAATCAAAGTAAGAAATATAAAAAAAATTTTAAAAAAATTTTTAAATGAAGCAAGAGCACACGTTATTTGAGACCCCATAAACCCAACCAAGCCTTAAAAATACTCTCTGGACCACCCCTTTAAGGCCAGTATTTTTAGACCCTTGTCTAAAAATTGTCTACGAAACAAACCATCGTTATACAATGATTTTCCTAATTACCCTAACTTGCCTAATTAACCTAGTTAAACCTTTACATGTCAGTTTAAGCTGAATACTAGTATCTTGAAAGAACACATAGACCAGGGGCCTATACCATGAAGATACTAAAATGATTGGTGAGCATAATTATTTAATCATTCCAAAGTTTTGACAAGTAGTGTATAGTACTTTTCTGGTGCTGTTAATTAAAACATGTTGAAGAGCAGATCAAGGACAATTAAAGTTTGTGTTCATGTAAATCTCACCAGGCCAGCGACTAACAGGTGAAGACTGACGACGACAGCAATGACCCACCAGCTGCTCTTCTCACAGCCCTCAAAGAACAGGACGCCCCAAAACGTGTGCAGCAGCGTCAGCGCCAGAGTCATCAGTGCTGTCAACACCCAACATACAATCTTCAATCAGATCACAGAATCCTGATTTCTTAGTCAAACCATCAATTTAACAAATAATAACAGTGGTATCGTTGCTAAAGTGTTTTTTAAATGTTTAAATATTTTCTTTTTTCACTTGCACCAAAAAAAAAAAAAAACTGTACACAATATTAAACAAGCTCTCAAGAGAAAAATATTAGGAGATGTAAAAGTAAATATATACATAAAAATAACCAAAAAACAATAAAGATTGAACATTTTTCTATATTCTAGATCAGGAGTCACTAATAATGATGATGGTGGTCGACTCGCGAATGATTTAATCTTTTTAACCGGATCTTCTAATGGCCCGTTTCCACTGAGTGGTACGGTATGCTTTTATGGCCGTTTCCACTGTCAAAAGGCTGCCGAACCGAACTGTATTGTACCACTTTTTCGGCACCCTTTGCAAAAGGTACCAAGGGTACCAAAAGGCTAAGCTAGACAGCTGAAACATTACACTGAAATAATATATACATAAAATAACGAGCCATGGTCAACCGATCTCAAACAAACCTTGTCGCCAAGAAGAACTAAATCTGTTGTGGCCTGTTGTTGTTTTGCGAGCCTGTCTAAAAGTGTGAGCGGTTTCACTTTGTCTAGAGAGCTTGCGATCGTGCCGATATTTGAAATAACGAACTTGTTGAGCTCATATTGATAACGTGCTAGTGATCATTAAAGCGCTCTAATATCCGATCCTGTCAGAAAGGAACAAACGCAAGAGTGAAGCGCGAAAACAAAAGCACAGCAGCAAATATTGCGTCTGCAACCTAAAACATGAACAAACTGCCATGTTTAACTATTATCATCACTTTTTGGACTATTATCAACTCAGAATGAATTACTTTCTAACAAGAGGCTACATGTGCTGCTGAATATTAAAGACACGTAAGAGAGGCTAGATTTCGTGTTGTTTTTGAACCTAAATGTATGCTAATAATCGTATGCTAATAATTGAGGTGTTCAAAAGAGTCTTAAAGACCTTGATTAGTTGGATCAGCTGTGTTTGATTAGGGTTGGAGCAAAACTGTGCAGTCCTGCGGCCCTCCAGGAATTGAGTTTGAGACCTATGCTCCAGGTGGCAAACTCAGTTCCTAGAGGGCTGCTGCTCTGCAGTTTAGTTTCAACCGTAATTAAACACACCCGAGCAAACTTATTGAGTCCTTCAGGCTTTTTTGAAACCTACAGGTAAGTGTGTTGAAGCAGGTTTGGAACTAAACTGTGCAGAGCTGCGGCCCTCCAGGAACTGGCTTTGACAGCTGTGCTATAAAGGATTAAAAAAGTAATTGATTCCGTCACTTGTAACAGGCTTTATTTTTGACAACAAATCTACAAATTTAAGTAATTGGAGAGGATTTATTAATGTTGAGGCTTTTCAGGACCTCACCTGCTGTAATGAAGTAATACTGCGAGTCTCCAAAGATGCCAACCGTCCCAGGACCCAGAGAGTCAGACAGTATGTTGATCATTGAAAATGCACCGCTCATGACTCCGAAACCCAATCCAGCCACTGTACACAAAACATAAGGACATAATGACAAACCTGGAGCATTACTCGACTTGAACAGTCGACATCAAACAATGCCATGAAGTATCTTTCTGAGTGTGTCAGGAGCACAGTTTACCGTAAGCCATCTGCCGGACGGAAATGGCCGAACTGGCATCATCACTAATGGCTGCCAGACCCTCAGTGGCCTTCCTGATGAATCAACATAAAAAGGCAAACAATTCATCACAGTTTCAAGGAAACAGATTCCTTTACAATAACAATAACTGTAAATAAGCATATTCCAATCATGAGCAAACCAACACAACACAGACATGTGAAGACGTGATTTTAGAAAGAAGTCCAATATCACAACATCCATTCTGCCTTTTATATTTTTATTGTTTAAAGTACCCCTATTATGATTTTACAGATAACACATTTCATGTAGTTTGTGAATGTAAAAGATCTGTAAACTTCCAACGATCAAGATGAATAGATAAACAGAGATCTATTGTCTCCAAAAACAAAGAACATTTCTGGACAAAAACCCCATCTTCATTAATTTGACAACACAAGCAAACTCTCATTTGAATTTGACAACACATACAAATACAGAAACACACTGCTAATAGGACACACCACAAAAGAAATGTGTTGGGGAAAAATTAATCATGGTTGGATGTACGGTTCCTTGTTGTTAGTTTATTTGTAATAATGTAATTGGATATTCATTAAAGGGATGCAGCTGCGGCCGAAAGTTAACAATAATTATTTATATTATTTCGTAAATTGCCAATTTAATTGTTTTTTTTTTAACATTGTTTTTATACCCCTGCCCTGAACCCAACCCTCACAGTAATGTTCATTCATTCATTCATTCATTCATTGTCATCCGCTTTTCCAGGTCCGGGTCAAAAGGGCAGCAGTCTCAGGAGAGAATCCCAAACTTCCCTGCCCCCAGACACTTCCTCCAGCTCCTCCGGAAGGATACTAAAGCATTCCCAGGCCAGTCGAGAGACATAGTCTCTTTAGCGTGTCCTGGGTCTTTACCAAGACTTCCTCCTGGTGGGACATGCCTGGAACACCTCTCTAGGTAGGTGTCCAGGAGGCATCCGAAACAGATGCCCGAGCCACCTCAGCTGACTTCTCTCAATGTGGAGGAGCAGCGGCTCTACTCCAAACTCCTCACCCTATCAATAAGTGTGCACTCTGCCACCCTGCGAAGGAAACTCATTTTGACCGCTTGATGGTCATAGGTGAGAGTAGGAACTTAGATTGACCGGTAAATCCAGAGCTTTGTCTTTCGGCCCAGCTCCTTCTTTACCACAACGGACTGGTGCATCGACTGCATTACTGCTGCACTAATCCGCCTGTCAATCTCCCGTTCCATCCCTTACTTGTGAACAAATTCCCCAAGATACTTGAACTCCTCCACCCTGGGTAAAGACTTTCCTCCAACCCGGAGATGGCAAACCACCTTTTTCCGGTGAAGCAACATGGCCTTGGACTTTGAGGTGCTGATACTCATCCCAGCCGCGTCACACTCTGCAGCAAACTGCACCAGTGCATGCTGAAGGTCCATGTTCGATGAAGCCAACAGAACAACATCATCTGCGAACTGTGAGTTCAGTTTCCGAACTGGACCCCCTCCGTCCCAAGGTTGTGCATAGAAATTCTGTCCATAAAAATTATGAACAGAATTGGTGACAAAGGGCAGCCCTGCCAGAGCCCAACATGCACTGAAAACAAGTCTGCCTTGTTGCCAGCAATGTGAACCAAACTCCTACTCTGTTCAAACAGGGACGAGACGGCCCTTAACAAAGCGCCTCTGACCCCATACTCCCAGAGCAGCCTCCACAGAATGCCACAAGGGACATGGTTGAATGCCTTCTCCAAGTCCACAAAACACATGTAGACTGGTTGGGCATACTCCCATGAACCCTCGAGCACCCTGGTAAGGGTATAGAGCTGGTCAAGTGTTCCACAGCCTGAACAAAAAACGCATTGTTTCTCCTGAACCTAGGTTCAACCATTGGTCAGGTCCTCCTTTCCAGTACCCTGGCATAGATTTTCCCAGGAAGGCTAAGGAGTGTCCCTTCTTAAAAATGGGAACCACCACTCTGGTTGTCCAGTCCAGAGGTAGTTTGCACAGTTACACAGTGGCAAAGCAGCAAGGGTGGATGAGATTCACCCCGTGTATCTCAGGTCTCTGGATATTGTGGGGCTGTCTTGGCTGACATGTCTTTACAATATTGCATGGATGTTGGTGACAGTACCTTACAGTAATGTTAAAACAGTAATTATTGTTGTACAGTAATTGCAATGTTGTAATAATGTACATAAATCTCGTTAACTTCTGGCTGCACATGTATCCCTTCTAGACTTTACCATCAGATCTCTGACAACACTGCAGAAAGCTGCTGGGTTCGGCACTTTTTGGGGTCCCCAACACATTTAAATTTGTCAGTAAGTTTCTATATTTGCCTTGTTTCATAAAAATTAGCGATTGCTTGTATTGTCAAAACCATGAAAATGCTTTATAAATTCCATTCTTTTTTTATTTACATGTTTTTTCTTAACTTGCAGCATGCTTGAGCTCCTTCGGCTGCCACAAATCAGAGAATGTTTTGACAAAATATGTCAGGATGCTCCAATTGATCAGACCGAAGATTGGTATTGGCTGATAATCACATTTAATTACTTGATCGGTACGCGCCAATCTGGGTGATGGTCTCATTGTAAGTGCAGCCATTGTGTTTACCGTGTTTTGATCAGCTGTGACGCGAGCGTGATCACCCCTATCTTGTGTCTAATCCAACCTTATGACCTTATCTGAAAGCTCCATGAGCCTCCAGCATTTTCATAGTGGCTCCATGATCCCCAAAATTAGTTAAAATATCCAGAAATCACGGCAACGAGAGTAAATAAGCAAGACAACAGATCATGAGAGGCACAGTGATGTTCTAAGCATTACAAATGTTAGGTTAAATGAACAGAACGGTTGAGATATTGCGAGTGTAAATTCCCCCCTCTCTCTCATTGAGTGATCTGCTGTCAATAGTTGGAGAAGAGTTAAATATTTAAATGGATTTAGGTCTTTTTACATGTAAAAACTGAAAGAACTGTGTTTTTGCACTCCAAGCTTTTTCTTGATTGAGACGTGATTCTTCTTTCATCATTTGCAATGTTTCCAAGCTGCATTGTTTGTAATTTTCCTTACCAATTTTTATATCCGTGTTACATTATTTCCTGCAAAACTGCTTCTGGCCATGAAATGTTCATAGCTAATTGGTTATAAGAGAGTGTTTAAGGGATTATAAGCAGCATTCTTCATTTATTTTTAGGTAAGGCGAGATCTTCACCTAAGCATCATACTAAGATGGAAAATGTGTTTAATGCATAATAAAGCGTGAAGCATCAGAATCGATATCGGGCGATCACCATGACAAGAAATCAGACTCAGTATCAACTGCAAAAATCCTGATCGGAGCATCCGTAGTCACTACACAATTTTTCTAAAACAAAATGAAAAGCAGTTCTGTTTTAAGCACATTGTTGACGTGTAAACATAGCCTTATCTTAATTACTGCACATATGCTGTGGTTAAATCAATATATTTGGCATAATCGTGAGGTTTCTTATCATTTATTGCATGTCTTAATGACTCTCACCTGAGCAGTCTGTAGTAGGCAAAGCGAAACACTTCCTGGAGCAAAACTGAAAAGAAAACCCCAAAAATCAGCAGACCCCTGGGAAGACTGGGATCCTGAGAGTTACTGGCCTTCACAGCGATGAACCAGACCAGAGAAGACAATAGCAGAGACAGAAGCCAAAAAAACGCCCTGAAACAAATACATAACACATGAAAAATACTAGTTTTGAATCATTTTTGTTTTTGTTGAAGGAATAGTTCACCCAAAAACGTACAATCATTTAATCACACTTTAATTGTCTCATACTAGTTTGAGGTTTTGTTTTTTGTTCTATTAAGACAAAAGTGATATTTTGAATAATGTTGAAAACCTGTAACCACTGACATCCATAGCAGGAAAAACAAACACTATAGAAGCCGTTGGTTAATGATTTCCAACATTCTTCAAAATATCTTCTGCTAAACAAAACCAATAAAATAGTTTGGAGCATGTAAAGGGTGAATAAATGATAACAGGATGTTTTTGGTTGAACTATCTCTTTAAATGTGGTGATGGAAACATTCTGATGAATTTGATATAACTTCCAAAGGTTCATTTAAAAAATGAAGATCTGAAAGTTCATTTGTTAAACACTTTATGATGTTTACGATTCATGGAATGCATCATTCAAGCAATGATGTGTTCATCCAGACAAGTTACCTGTTAAAACAGTGGTGTCAAACTCAGTTCCTGGAGGGCCACGGCCCTGCAGAGTTTGGTTCCAGACCTGCTTCAACATGCCTATCTTTTTTTTTTTTTTTTTTGTAATAATTTTTATTATTGTAAATATGTACAAACTAAGTACAAGAGAATACATCTCACAACAATTATGAATAAAATAAAAATAAATAAAATAAAATGAGAGATTTTTATTGCCTGTCTTTTTTTATTATTATTGTAAATATGTACAAACTAAGTACAAGAGAATACATCTCACAACAATTATGAACAAAATAAAAATAAATAAAATAAAATGAGAGATTTTTTTTGCCTGTCTTTTTTTATTATTGTAAATATGTACAAACTAAGTACAAGAGAATACTTCTCACAACAATTATGAACAAAACAAAAATAAATAAAATAAAACGAGAGAAAATATCTTAGTTACACAATCAAAGTAGAAACAGACGCCAGGGGTAAAACAAAATAGATAGGAAAAATAACAATAATAAAAACATTTATTTAATCAAATGAAATTTACATAATGCTTCATATGTTTTTTAGCTTTTCTGTTTCTAATGTTACATAGTGTAGTAGCATATAGCTTAATCTCCTTTAAAAAGTATTCACAATTTGGCTTAGCTTTGGCCTATTTCTTAACATGAATATGGTATCTTCCAAGTTATATTATTAGTTGTATAAGAAAAAAGCTTGTACTTTTTGAATCAATTCCATCTTGTACTAAAGCAAACATGACATCATATAATCCAATTTGTATAAGTGTACCAAACGTCCTTCAAAAAGTTAGAAACATCAATCCAAAATAATCATGAGTATACAAATTGAAAAAAAGAGTTCTCTTGATCCACTTCAAACCGTTCAAATAACTCTTTTACAGGATAAATTCTGTGAAAAATTGTAAAAGATACCCTTCTTACTTTATTACTAATAAAAATGCATTTGTTAGTACTGTAGCCATACTTTCTTCAGCTCAATGTTTCCAAATTTTGATGACCAGAAGAAGATAAAAGATGATTATCTTTTAATACATTTCTAATATATCTATTACTACATTTACCTTCAACAATGTTAATATCACCAATAAATAAAACATTATCACTTGTCTTTGGCAGTAAGTCCACATTGTATACAGAATTATGCAACATAGATACACCTTTACATGGTATTGCATCAAAAATAACAGCATTTTTTTTAAAATAGACTGACTGTAACTATTCTATTGTCTTACCATTGAAAAAATAGACTTCCTTTTGTAAAAGATATCTCTATTCTTCCACAGACTCAATTAGTTTAATCAGGCGTGTTTAATTAGTGTTGAAACTAAACTGTGCAGAGCTGTGGCCCTCCAGGAGTTTGACATCTGTGTGTTAAAAAAGGGTAGTACTGTTGAGCTACCAGGATCAACGTTAATCTAGAAACATTTACTACGTGGTGAAATCAGGTTGGTGACGAGACTATAGAGCACATGCACATGAAACACAAATGCTGTTGAAATCGAAATCCTGTAAAGAATTGTTAGTCTGCATTATTTAGGGCAGCCAGAGCCGGGAACACTTCCCAAAAGACATTATAATTTAAACGACATCTGCGCCTATGTTTTTTTCCCCCCCAAGGTTTCCCTAATCCTGGACCAGGCCGTATCCTGTGAGATCCCAGTGACAGACGAGTCCTCGAATTGATCCTGTAGGGCCAGCCTGTTCACCAGCCAGTTATACTATTGAAGTTGGTTTTATATTAGCACATTTGGACTTTCACCTATATAACCATCAAACTACAACATTGTTCGCAGTCAAATAAACAGTGCTAATGTTGTTTTGAAGTCATACTTGTGATTTCAGACCGAATATTCAAACTCAAAGTACCATAGTAAACAATACAGGGAGCGTGTCACAAGTTAAACAAGTTAGACACTAAACCAATGTGCGAATATAAAAACAGCTTTACCTAAAATCATATTAGCAGCTTTATTCACAGTTAATTAGTGCTAATGTTGTTCTGAAGTCATACTTGCATCTCATTTAATACCGAATATTCGAAGTTAGCTAGCATGTCACTGTTCAAAATGAAATAATGTGCAAATATAAAACCAACCTTTGCCCAGTGGTAACACTATGGTGTCACATTCTATGGTGCTGAATAATTGATGAATGGTTAAGTTAAAGGTCTAATGTATTAGATTACGTGAGTGAAATATACTCAGGTTACTCACCCTGCGATCAGAATGATGACTCTTAAAGGATCTTTGGCGACAGTGAAAACAAACAGGGCGAAAGCGGGACCAAACGCTATGAAGGCACAACCAAAAAACACTGCCAGAGTCATTCTGGACCCACACCTTCCTCTCTGATCAACAGTCGCGGTCCGATTAATCGATTACGAGCTACAATCGTGAACTAAACACACGAACAAACCTAGTTGACAATAGGCACAAATGTACTTAATTCTCCATCAGTTATAGACCGTTTAAACCTGCTGTGTTCATTTACAGCGTTACAATTCACACAGAAATTCCTCCAGTATAGACAGAATCGAAGCTAGTAAATCCGATAATGCTGGCGCGCTTTGTGTCGTTCTTCAGTCAGCGATTTGTTTGGTAACATTTTGAAACTTGAATCTGTAGTTTCTCTTTCCTGAATAAAAAAAACACACGCGACATTTCCGAGGGCTTTTGTTTGGTGTAAATGATCAGCTTCCGGGTTTACGCGCTTGCACTGCGCACTCCTGCCCCTGAGGGACGCTGACGGCATGCACTAAATTCCAGGGGTTTCATTACCGCGACGTAAAATGGGCGTGGCTCGGTCGGTGTTTGGGAAACGCCCCCTTAAAAAAAAAAAAAACAATACTGAGAGGTCACCGATCATGCGCAGCACGGGTTCTTTTTTAGCGCGGTCATTTCAAACAGGATGATTATGGATAAAGAACCTCCTGCGATGGATAACGAAGGAAAAAAAAACAGTCATACAGGTTATTTTTTTGTTGTTATAATGTTATATTTTAAAGATTTAATGAGTAAAAACATCTGACCTCGTTTTAATCCGTATTACTGTCTCTGGGCTTTTGTACTTCCTTTTTAAACCAAATAATAATGGTTGTGGTAAGATTAACCGTGTTTTTGTAGTTTAAAATATAGTATTCAGTCATGTTTAAACAAATAAATACCACATTTTCTGTAATAAATCGTGGTTAATTTTTCTTTCTCGATCTTAGTTAATTAACATAACTCATATTTATTTTCTATTTTTATTTAAAGTCATCATAAACAAAACCCCTGGGATCAGGACAGGTCTCTGATGTTACTGTATATAACATAAAAGTGATCATACATGAAACCCCTGGGATCAGGACAGGTATCTGATGTTACTGTATATAAAAGTGATCATACATGAAACACCTGGGATCAGGACAGGTATCCGATGTTACTGTATATAATATAAAAGTGGTCATACATGAAACCCCTGGGATCAGGACAGGCATCTGATGTTAATATATATAAAAGTGATCATACATGAAACCCCTGGGATCAGGACAGGTATCTGATGTTCCTGTATATAATATAAAAGTGATCATACATGAAACCCCTGGGATCAGGACAGGTATTTGATGTTAATATATATAAAAGTGATCATACATGAAACACCTGGGATCAGGACAGGTATTTGATGTTACTGTATATAATATAAAAGTGATCATACATGAAACCCCTGGGATCAGGACAGGTATTTGATGGTAATACATATAAAAGTGATCATACATGAAACCCCTGGGATCAGGACAGGTATCCGATGTTACTGTATATAATATAAAAGTGATCATACATGAAACACCTGGGATCAGGACAGGTATTTGATGTTACTGTATATAATATAAAAGTGATCATACATGAAACCCCTGGGATCAGGACAGGTATTTGATGTTAATATATATAAAAGTGATCATACATGAAACCCCTGGGATCAGGACAGGTATTTGATGGTAATACATATAAAAGTGATCATACATGAAACCCCTGGGATCAGGACAGGTATCCGATGTTACTGTATATAATATAAAAGTGGTCATACATGAAACCCCTGGGATCAAGACAGGTATTTGATGGTAATACATATAAAAGTGATCATACATGAAACCCCTGGGATCAGGACAGGTATCCGATGTTACTGTATATAATATAAAAGTGGTCATACATGAAACCCCTGGGATCAAGACAGGTATTTGATGGTAATACATATAAAAGTGATCATACATGAAACCCCTGGGATCAGGACAGGTATCCGATGTTACTGTATATAATATAAAAGTGGTCATACATGAAACCCCTGGGATCAGGACAGGTATTTGATGTTAATATATATAAAAGTGATCATACATGAAACCCCTGGGATCAGGACAGGTATCTGATGTTACTGTATATAAAAGTGATCATACATGAAACACCTGGGATCAGGACAGGTATCTGATGTTCCTGTATATAATATAAAAGTGATCATACATGAAACCCCTGGGATCAAGACAGGTATTTGATGGTAATACATATAAAAGTGATCATACATGAAACCCCTGGGATCAGGACAGGTATCCGATGTTACTGTATATAATATAAAAGTGGTCATACATGAAACCCCTGGGATCAGGACAGGTATCTGATGTTCCTGTATATAATATAAAAGTGATCATACATGAAACACCTGGGATCAGGACAGGTATTTGATGGTAATACATATAAAAGTGATCATACATGAAACCCCTGGGATCAAGACAGGTATTTGATGGTAATACATATAAAAGTGATCATACATGAAACCCCTGGGATCAGGACAGGTATCCGATGTTACTGTATATAATATAAAAGTGGTCATACATGAAACCCCTGGGATCAGGACAGGTATTTGATGTTAATATATATAAAAGTGATCATACATGAAACACCTGGGATCAGGACAGGTATTTGATGTTACTGTATATAATATAAAAGTGATCATACATGAAACCCCTGGGATCAGGACAGGTATCTGATGTTACTGTATATAATATAAAAGTGATCATACATGAAACACCTGGGATCAGGACAGGTATTTGATGTTAATATATATAAAAGTGATCATACATGAAACACCTGGGATCAGGACAGGTATTTGATGTTAATATATATAAAAGTGATCATACATGAAACACCTGGGATCAGGACAGGTATCCGATGTTCCTGTATATAATATAAAAGTGGTCATACATGAAACCCCTGGGATCAGGACAGGTATCTGATGTTAATGTATATAATATAAAAGTGATCATACATGAAACCCCTGGGATCAGGACAGGTATCTGATGTTACTGTATATAATATAAAAGTGATCATACATGAAACACCTGGGATCAGGACAGGTATTTGATGTTAATATATATAAAAGTGATCATACATGAAACACCTGGGATCAGGACAGGTATCCGATGTTCCTGTATATAATATAAAAGTGGTCATACATGAAACCCCTGGGATCAGGACAGGTATCTGATGTTAATGTATATAATATAAAAGTGATCATACATGAAACCCCTGGGATCAGGACAGGTATCTGATGTTACTGTATATAATATAAAAGTGATCATACATGAAACACCTGGGATCAGGACAGGTATTTGATGTTAATATATATAAAAGTGATCATACATGAAACACCTGGGATCAGGACAGGTATCCGATGTTCCTGTATATAATATAAAAGTGGTCATACATGAAACCCCTGGGATCAGGACAGGTATTTGATGGTAATACATATAAAAGTGATCATACATGAAACCCCTGGGATCAAGACAGGTATTTGATGGTAATACATATAAAAGTGATCATACATGAAACACCTGGGATCAAGACAGGTATCTGATGTTACTGTATATAATATAAAAGTGATCATACATGAAACACCTGGGATCAAGACAGGTATCTGATGTTACTGTATATAATATAAAAGTGATCATACATGAAACACCTGGGATCAAAACAGGTATCTGATGTTACTGTATATAATATAAAAGTGATCATACATGAAACCCCTGGGATCAGGACAGGTATTTGATGTTAATATATATAAAAGTGATCATACATGAAACCCCTGGGATCAAGACAGGTCTCTGATGTTCCTGTATATAATATAAAAGTGATCATACATGAAACCCCTGGGATCAAAACAGGTATCTGATGTTACTGTATATAATATAAAAGTGATCATACATGAAACCCCTGGGATCAGGACAGGTATTTGATGTTAATATATATAAAAGTGATCATACATGAAACCCCTGGGATCAAGACAGGTCTCTGATGTTCCTGTATATAATATAAAAGTGATCATACATGAAACCCCTGGGATCAAGACAGGTCTCTGATGTTACTGTATATAATATAAAAGTGATCATACATGAAACCCCTGGGATCAAGACAGGTATTTGATGGTAATACATATAAAAGCGATCATACATGAAACCCCTGAGATCAGGACAGGTATCTGATGTTACTGTATATAATGTATAAAGTATTTGACACAAAAGCCCTGGGATACATGAGGACAGGTATCTTAAGTCATAACAGTATTAATGTAATCTGAGAGGTATCTTAAGTTAATTTGTTTAATATAACATACTCTGACTTCACATGAAACACCTGCGATCAGGACAGCTATTTTGTACTGCATAAAAAAGGTATTGGACACGAAACCCCTGCGAATACGTACAGGTATCTGAATCAAACGGCTGTTTTCACAATCTGCGCATGATCCGTGACCTATGCAAATTCACAGATAGGCCACGCCCATCAGATGACGTAGTAGCGGTTACGCTGTACTGAAACCCCTGGAAAAAAGTGCCTGCCGGACGCTGACTACTGTAAACACTCGCGGAGGCCTAAAGGGGTAGTTCACTCAAAATTAAAACTCTGCATTATTTACTCATGGTGTACTTGTCAAAAAAAGTCTGGCCTCCTTCTTTCTTCCGTTGAACACAGATAGTATTATGAAATAAGCTAAACACGTGTTACCATTGACTTGTATAGTAGACTATTTGTATTTTTCTACAATGGAAGTTAATGGTTACAGGTGTACAGCTTTCTTCAAAATGTCTTCCTTAGTGCTCAAGAGTAACTTTTGAAAACCTTTTATTATTAGTCGTAGAAAAAATATTATTTGTAGCAACAGTAGTTATACAGTTTGTTGTCCTATGGGTCATACTTTTAAATAAGCATAACCAGAAAATTAACTTACTTTCTTCTAAGGCATGTAGGTCAAAGATGAAAAGGAGATTTTGTGATCCTGGATTAACATCCATGTTGATCCTGGAAAATCATTTCTGTTAGAAAATTTAGTCTATACCTATTCCCTACCCTTAAACTCAACTAATGTAAATTATTCCTAAAATCAGATAGGAATAATAGTAGGATAACAATCATGTAGAAGTGCATAAATCTAACCGTGATCCTAAATTAACATAAACAGTAAACTTATCCCTTAATTCTGATTGTCTAATTGGAATGCTGTTTCAGGATCAACATTAATCTAGGAACTTATGCACATGCACATGAAACACAAATGCTGTTTGAATCGAAATCCTCTAAAGCAGTGCTTCTCAACTGGTGGGTCGCGACCCAAATTTTCAGTGAGTGGTCAAAACAACAACAAAAGTTTAATTTATTTTGCTTATACTGGACTTTTATTTTGAAATGCGTGCGCGACAAACCTACCGTTTGACATGTGAAATTTCATTTAATTTTAGCAACAAATATATCGAAGCGCAAGTGCAACCTCGAATATGTAAAGTATGGACTTACATATTTTGACGACAAAAAAAGACGTAAAGCCTCAGTGTGTCATATGTAATGAGGTGCTCTCACAAGAGAGCACGAAAACTTCTATATTAAAACGACATGTACAATCCAGACAACATGTTTTATTAACAGTTCAGTTTAGTTCATGGTAACTGAACCTTTCCTTACCCTAACCACTGTTAACGGTATTTGTCGTTTTTCATTTGTAATATTGTTATAATTTGATACATTTTGTTAAATGACAGCAATAAAATATTGTTTATTTGTAAGTCTTGGTGATTTTCTTATGATTTATCTGTCACTACTTGCGTTTGTTAACAAATAAATACAAATTAATTATAATTTCTAAAATTGCATTATAGTTCCTAAAAATTTGGGTCGCGACCTGATGACCATGTAAAAATGTGGGTCCCATGGCCAAACCATTTGAGAACCCCTGCTCTAAAGGATTGTTAGTCTGCATTATTTAGGGCAACCAGAGCCGGGAACACTTCCCAAAATACATTATAATTTAAACGGCATCTGCACCTATGTTTTTTTTCCGCCAAGGTTTCCATAATCCTGGACCAGGCCGTATCCTGTGAGACCCCAGTGACAGACGAGTCCTCGCATTGATTCTGTAGGGCCAGCCTGTTCACCAGCTGGTGACCATTCCCACCTGCAACTTCTTCACGATGGACGTCCAGCGCTCTTCACAATGCCGAGACCACAGCTCTGCACAAGACGTTTGGCCATAGAAGAAATGGTCGTGCCCAATTGAGCCTGGTTTCTCTAGAGGTTTTTTAATCCTTTACTTTCGCCAATTGGTGAAGTTATGTTCCTCGCCGCTGTCGCCACTGGCTTGCATGGTTCGGGACTTGTGAAGCTACGCATTGATGGATTTGAACTCTCAGCATTGAATATTAAACCTCACTGAACTGAACTGAACTTCAACACTGAAAACTGAACTAACACTGTTTCAATTTACTATAATCTTTCATGTGAAGCAGCTTTGACACAATCTACATTGTAAAAGCACTATAGAAATGAAGATCAATTGAAGTGAATGCCCAATTTCCTCAAAAGAATCCAGGGAAACACAAAAGAGTGGGAGTTGTAGGGTATGACAGTACTGATGTTGTGATGCAGGTGGATCTAGTCCTGTGTTCTGAGTCCCAGACTGTCCTATCAGGTTCTGATTGTCCTTTTCTCTGACCCTCAGACACTATAACCGGTCCTGTGTGCTGTTCCCCAGACTGTGTTCTAATCTAACTGGTTCTATCTGTCATTTGAATGTTAAATAAAATATTTTAAATGAAATTGGTGTATTTGATTTTGTTCAGAGTTACTTTCAATTGTTTAGAAAAAATGTGCTTGAAAAAAATGTGCTTAATCCACAATTGACTAGTCCGACATGAGTTCTGAAATGTGTGGCTGTCAAGCTAACTGCCAGGATTCTAACTCTTAAAACATTTGTAATGGTAGTTTCAATGTGGAAAAAGTAATGGGTTCACTTTACCCCTTTGATTTCACTAGTCTGTATCAGTTTACCCTTAAACCGGGGTATAGAGAGACACAAGATTACTTTTTTTTTAAACATTCATATTTTCAATGAACAATATCCTGAATGTAGTCTGATAAATTCCATTACTAGTAGGAAACATTCTGAATTAATGAGACATGTACATTTTGCTTATTTGTAATTTTAGCTCGCTTAAGGGGAGCAAATGTAAAAAGGTTTCACTTTACCCCACTCTCCCTATTACTGGGGCTGAAGAAAAACTCAACAGCAGAGGCCTTCAATCCTTCTCTGACCCACTGTTCAGTTTATTTCCAACCTGCTTCAGAGTTTTTCAGATGATCCTTCATCAGCTTCAGGTGTGTTTAATTATACATGGAGATAAGCTAAAAATTTCACCCAAGAAATTTAAATTGATTACATTTTACTCTTCCTGAAGTGGTTCCAAACTTATTTTCTTCTTCTTCCATTGCACACAAAAGTAGTTATTTTGTAAAACGTTGGTAACTACTTCCCTATCCAACGTTTTTCTAAATATCTTCTTTTGTGTTCAACAGAAAAAAAGAAACTCTTAACAGGTTTGGAACAAGTGAAGGGTGAATAAACGATAGCAGATTTTTTTGTTGTGAGTGTAATATCCCTTCAAACGCAATGCGGTTACCAAGTGGCCAATAGAGGGAGCTATAATAAAAGGTAAGCATTTTGGGCCACAAAACCTCATCCACTCCCGACACCTACTTCACAGACTACTCCAAGGCCGCTCCAGAAGTTATCCTGTCCTCATATATAGACATAGCCTACACATACAAACACAGTAGTCAACATTTGAAGTGGATCAAATCCTTTCATCAAAGTTGTCCAAAACTATACAACACCCATTCATGGATAATTTCAAACACATTTTCAAAATTTGAATTCTCTGTGTGTGTGTGTGTGTACAAAAACATTTCAGAAATATTAGAACCTTACAAAGCAATTCATTATCAAACATTAAAACATGAAAATCTTAAAGGGCACCTATTTTACAAGATGTCAGATAAGCTTTTAGTGTCTCCAGAATGTGTCAGTAAAGTTTCAGCTCTAAATACTCATTAGATAATTTATTAAAGCCTCCAGAATCTGGCCATTTTGGTGTCTGAATAGTGTAACAATATTACTGTTATTTTTTATTTATTAATAATAATAATAATTATATATATATATATATATATATATATATATATATATATATATATAGCCAGAACCCCCCCCCCCCCCCTGACAAAGTCCAGTATTTGACCCCTATTTTAACAACCAATTTTAACTTTTTAGTGAAATATGTCTTAATAGTGTTTATAGCAGTGAGGGACAAATATATGACTGTCAACACCTCAAAAAATGTGTTTTGGTGTTTGTGACCCTTTAAGACCCCGTAGACACCCTGTATTGAGAGACATAACTAGTTTTTCCAACACAATTTACCCCAAAAGTTACCCCATAAATGACCGGTTAGCATTCAAACAAATAAACGAGTCAAAATTATGATTTCAAAAATCGAATTTTAATCAAACAGCTCAAACATTTGCATAGGATACATAAATGAGTGATGCGTTAAAAATCGCTGGAAATGTTTAAAAATGTGTGCAAGAATGACCAAAAGCTGGTTCTTTACCTATATCCCTTTCATATACTTCATTTACCAAATTACATTGTTTTGTCCTAGGATTTTCTACATGGTTAAACAAAGAGGACACTTTTAAACGACGTAAAAATGATTTCCCCAATTAATAACAAAGTCATTGCATTCCTTCACATAGATAAAGAAAAAAAAACGGCATAACTTTAAATTTGTATATCATCGCCTTGAGTAGTGTGACTGATACAAGCTCTTAAAGGGGAAATGAAGCACTCAGTCAAATTTTGTACTTGGGATTCGACTTTAGGGAAAATATATTAAACAAACCAGATTAATTTAATCATTTAGAAAAAAATAACATGTTAGATCTAGATCTAGGGCACAACCATCTTGGAATATCTCTGTGTCTGACGTCACAGGATTGGTCCCCTTCACTCAGATGAACAGATACTGTGGAAGTAAAGCACTGCAAAGCTTAATTTAACCCATTGTGTGAAGTTATAGACGTGGAGTTGGTGCAAATACAAGCATTAGATGTATGTCTCCTATATAAACATACATTTATTCTATATTTCTTTTTTTTTTCCTTTTAATTACAGATCATTTGATGCGCTTTAGTCCACTCTCTGTATTACGCTGTCTGAGTGCCTGTATGGGTTTTAACCAGGTCCAGTGCTGACGTAATGGAGCGGGTACTTTCACTTTTCATTACTACAGCTTCACCTCTGCTCATGTTCAAACCAAACTAAGGTCCGCGCGATTTTCACACGGCAGGTTTTTTATCCTTCATACATGTTAAGAGATTGAGTTGATCGACTTGAAAAGGATGAAACATGTCTTGGCAATCCACAAAGACGTGACTCAGTAAAGCAAAGTCATACATCATTTTTATCGTTGCATTAGTCTGAATCAAAATCCCCTAATAAGGCAGTGCTGGAGCAGCATGAGAGAGTTATATTAACAACAGAAAAATATACATCTGAAGACACTTTAATGCTTGTGTTTGTTGTATTTGTACCAGCTTTGCGATGCACGTCCACAACTTCATGCATTGGGTTAAATTAGACTGTCCAGTCTTTGTGTTCAGTCCGTTACAATCATGGTTGAAATCCAGACAGGCAGTCAGGCAGCGTAATTCAGAGAGTGAATCAAATGGTCGGTAATTAAATGGGGGAAAAAAGAAAAATAGAATAAATATAGATATTTTATATTAGACCCACATCTGCTGCTTGTATTTGTACAACTTCACGCATTTGGTAAAATTAGGCTTTGCATTCTCCGTGTTCAATTTTTTACTTCCACTGTATCTGTTCATCTGAGGGAATGGAACCAACCCAGTCAGACACAGCGATATTCCAAGATGGCGGAGCCATAAGTTAAAAAGCTATAGTAAAACATGCCATTTTCTTCTAAATGGTTACATTAAACAGGTTTGTTTAATGTATTTTGATTAAAGTGGAATCCAATATACAAAATAATGTAAACTTGACTGAATGCTTCATTTCCCCTATAAAAGGCAATTCACAGATTTGGTCAGCTACATCAGACAGAAGAAAGATTAGTCAAAAAAACAAAGGTTCCATCATACACTCCTAATCACTACTATAATCACATTAAAATTGGATCCATGTCTGTATATAGCAAATGTATTTCATAAATTACTTTTGGAGCTTCCCTGTTGGTGGTACATGAGATCGACATGGATGACGTAAATGACATTTTGCATCTAAAAAAAGCTATGTTCACAAAAAGGCCACAAGATTGCAGCACTGCAGACTGAAACATTCGTTTGACGATTTTAGAGGCGATCTTAGCCAAAAATACAATCACAAGTTGTGCTTTTTTTTTGGTAGACATCAATGAAAAAGCTTAAAAACGGTAATCTCAAAAGTGTAACTATTGTGCAAAAACCTTTCCTGTATATTTTTGTTATGCTTTAAAGGATAGTTCACGGATAAATTAACATTTTTACTCAACCTTTACTTGTTCCAAAGCCTTTATTAGTAACCCTTTATTTTTTTCGTGTGTTAAACAGAAGACATTTCGAAATATGCTGAAAATCTGTAGCATGTGTTTTTACTACTATGGAAGTCGATAGTTACAGGTTTTCATGCCTTCTTCAAAGTATCTTCTTTGGTTTGGAATCACTTATGAGGCATTAAATAATATGCACACTTTAATTTATTGTGTGAGCTATCCCTTAAAATCCAAAGTTGTCAATTTCAGCATTTAATTCATCAGTTGAGGTCAAAAAAGCTGCTGGCTGACTTTGGAGAAAACAACACTTGTAGTAAACATCATGTTCATTATAAACGAAACCTTGGACTGATTACAAACTATTCTAAATCAATGTTAATTATGCTCACTGCTGGCTTTGCTACGGTTACAAGACGTTATTTGCATTGGGCTGTTTGGGAACAAACTGGCGAGTGTGTGACTATAAGACATTCATTTCTCAAAGCGAAGAACTGACGCTCCAGGCCTCGATGGAGAGCTCAGTGTGCTGGAAGACTTCATCCTTATAGATTGTTGAGCTCCAGAAGGGTCTGGTCCAGCACTTGGTGCATGTTCAGATTCTCCTCTTTAGCCTGGGCTACTTTCTCTGTTGAAATGAAAACAAAAAGAGACTTTGTGAGTCAGGGGCTGTATCTGAATTCACCCATATACTTTTAAATAATGCACTGTTTGAGGGAGCAGCCATTTGAAGTGATGTCCAAAACCACAAGCGGACTCAATTGATACCATTTGATATGAAGAAACAGAACAAACTGAGACAAACTAAATGCAGAACAGCTTTAGCAACATGTTCAGACGACAAAATCGGGCCCGAATCTGATTTCTTTTTTGTCCACATGTCAATCAGATCTGTTTTTGACTTGACAGTGTGAACAGCCCAAACCGCATGGAATCTGATTTGTGCCACTTTTATAGTATTAAATCAGACACAGATCTGATGTTTTGCAATGCAACCGCTGTGTGAACAGTTATGTAGGATTTCATGTGACTTACATAATCATTGAGCGACATGTCTCATCATTCTATGCTGCAAACCTCATCTACTCCTCAGCAGCACAGCAGAATGGCACAGTGCAATTACTTTACCACAGAAAGTTGGTTGCTCTTTTTGAAAGGCAAAACTGGTGCTTGTTAACCAATCTGGCGAACCTTTTTTAAATGAAAGTACCATGTTTTGTACAGTACTGTATGTTAGGCATGGGACAGTAACCGTTTTTAAAGTATACCTTTTTTTAGGATTATCTACTTTTTTTTTTTTTTTTTGCTTTTTAGGACAACAGTATCTCTTGCAGACAAGATATCCAAAGATGCCATTTTAAATTGTAAAAAAAATCTGTTTTTGAAATAAACGAAGACAGCAGAAGTCAATGATTCATTTGAATTATTTAGCCTGACATGTTTACTGCACTCTAAAAAATACCTCAAGAGCTCTGTTACCACTAAATAGTTTAATACATTGTTGTAACTTAAAAATTCTAAATTGCTGATTGGATTAAAACGTTTAAGTTGTCAGAATAATTTTATTAAATTTTCACAGCAGGAAAATATTGATAATTAAATCAACAACAACAAAATGCGGCTAATTTAAAAGGTAAATATGTCTGTCAATTAGTATGAAACTATATTTAACTTGCAGCAAGCCAAAGAAATTGGGTTGATAATTAAGTTACTCCACACTAATGGAGTTCTGGATTTCAAAGCTCCTCCCCCATTGAACAAGCACGGAGCAAATCCTCAGAGAAATCAGAGTTTTGTTTTGTTTCCAAATTAATTCTCTCCATTCCACTGTTGTGTTGGCTACTCCTGGTAAATACAGTTGATATTAGCAGTGCTTTTTTTCTTGCTTTAAAAGAATACACAAGAACTTGAGGAGGACCTTGAAAGGTAACTGATGACACTAGCCATCATTGGTGATGAGTTTCCTTTGGAATTGAACTAAAAGATGGAAACCATCATGGTTAAAGGCATGAGAATCCTAAATAAAATGGATATCTCAAGGCGCTGTGCTCTGCTGATAGGCATAATATATGCTCTGAATCTAAGCTACCTCAAGGAACTTAAATATACTTGTGAAGTTTCTCAATCTTGATGGATTAAAGCCCAGTGCAAAAGTAATGCGTCTCAAGAACATTATTTTCTAAAGTTTCTACTTATTTCAGAGTAGATTTTTAAATTTTATATAAAAAAAAAAAAAAAAAAAAAAAAAAAAATTATTTGAGTACCAAACCTAAAAAATGGAGATTATGCAATATAAAAATGCCTCTGTTCGAAGAGAAAAAGTTCATTTGGCTAATATAAAAAAGTTTATTGTCTGAACTTTATTTTGTTAGATTGTAACTTTATGTATTTTGCCAGTAGATGTGATAGGATGAGTTCAAACTAAGCCTCAGAATGAGGAAGAAAGGTCATGCAAGTCAGTGGTTTTCAATCTTGGTCCCTGCAGTCCCCCAATACGCATATTTTGACTGTTTCTCTTATCACTTCAGAGGTTTTGTCCATAAGTGCCCAGCGAAAAGCACATCACAGGATAATTTGCCAAAGACCCTTTTCACATTTCCAGGTTTCTCAGTAGCGGATGGCGTCATGATTTGGAAAACTTAGAGCGCAGTGAATCGGAGAGTACAACAAATATTTTTTTTTAACAACCTGATCTGTTGAAATAAAAGAAAAACTTCACAATGGTATTATCAAGACTTTCAGAAAAAGGGGAAAAAATTGAGTGAGACTAATAAAAGCAGTCAGAAGAGAGAATAATATCAAATTTACTCTCAGCTCCATAGACGCTGCATTAGAAACACCTCACATAAGTGGTTATTTGTTTTTTTTGTAATTTGACGCAGAGATGATAAAATACATAAATAAATGCATATAAATGTATAAATGTAAATGCACAGTACAGTTACGTTCTTATTGCCACATTAGATCGTTATAATAACATGATATCGTTGCCTTCAGTGATTTCTTGAAGATAAATGCCAAAAAATAACACAACTGGAATAACTACTGCAGTCGCGATTGTCTGCTCTTATATGAAGCAAGAGATTGCGTTGACATATGATGACGTGTTCATCATGGTGCTGTAGTGCTGTCCCAACTCTTAGGGGTAAATTTTGAAGCCCTTCCCCTTAAATTGCCAAGGGGAAGGGGTAGGGGACAAAAATAGAATTGGGCCTAAGTATTGCATTATTTACAAACCAGTTATTTCAGTATAGTTGGTGTTTTTTATGATCATTCAGAATGAGTTAGTAAATGATTAATAAACTATTCAAATTAACATTTATAATTCTTATTATTCAGGCATATACTAATAGTTAATTTGTATGTTAATAAAGGCTTTAACTCAACCTCATGCAGTTCTGTGACCTAATCTAAAGTGAGGACAATTAATGCTTTATAAATACCTTATTAATGACAAATAAAGGCTCAGTTATATTCTAAACAGGAAAAACAAAAAAAATTATTTTATTAATTTCTATTCATTTGAAGATAAACAAACGAAACTGTATCAAACAAAAAAATAAATCTTCGCAACCTTATCTAAAACAAAATTACTGTACAGTTTAAACTTTGCTAAATAACATTGAAATGTAGTGTCATATTATGTTGTTAAATTGTTATATTGTTGCGTTATTTAGTTTTATGTTATATTTTGACACTCCTGTTATTCGGCAATGTTTAATCATTACAGTAAGTAACTTTTTACATAGGATTATTAAAAAAGGTTATTTTTTTATTTGATACTAAGCCTTTAATTGTCATTTATAAGGATTTATAAAGCATGAATAGTCCTCACTTTAGATTAAGTCACATTACTGCATAAAGTTATAGTAACCATAACTATATGCCTGAATAATAAGATATAAAATGTTAATTTTAATAGTTTATTAATCGTTTACCAACTCATTCTGAACAATCTTAAAAAAAATCCCAACAACTCTTAAATACAATTGGTAGTAATTAATGTAATACTGAATTTAACAAATTATGCAAGTGCAATCATTAATCACATTATTAGTGTGGTTATAAGTCAAGAATACAGCATTTGTAGCTGCAGTTATAAACTGCTTACTAACACTTATTAATGTAGAGTTAATGCTTAACAAATAATGAATTCACTATTTGTTAATGTTTAATAAATGATTCATAGTGTGTAGTTATCATAAAGTGTTACCATAAGTTATTTATTTAATTATTTGACTTTTTATTTCGTTTCTTTTAGGGCAACAATATCTCCAGCAGCAGAAAAGAACCATCCACATCAAAAGCTACTGAACATTTGAAAAGCAAATCGCTTATAAAAGCAACATACAAGCATAGTATAGACCTGGAGTCTGTTTCCCAAAACCATTGTTAGCCAACAAAGGTCGAGAGTTCCGTCGTTACAAACAACGTTCAGTTTCAACCGCAGCCATGTCTCATGACAAAAGCTCTAGGTGACTTGTTATTTAAAAGCGGAATTTATGTTACGTCTTCAAAGCTTGTGACAACAAAACATATAGCATACATTAATGGTTTTAAGTTATAGTAGGTTATTTATTAAGAAATGTGTCTGTAGCCTACTGTATATGACATGGCCTTGCTGGGTTAGAACATTTCTGCAGTGGTTTGGATTTGTCAAAGTTGTTAAAAAGTAGACTTTTCAAAAAAATATCCTACTTAATAATAATTAAATAGCAAATGCATTTGCGCTCATGTGTGCGCCCATAGGCGTTCTGGTCTAAAAAAGCAGGCGTGTTTTGGCGCTTTGCTATTTTGAGAAAATGTAATAGTCTGTTCTTTAGACCAGAACAAACCCGGTATAAAGTCCGACGCAGAGCGCTTTAGTTGGGGGCCTCACTTGCACACTGCTTAATACACACAAGATGTAGAGCAATACGCAAATATCTTTACACATGAAAAAGAATTCAAATATTAAGGATATATTTAGGATATAATAAGGATATATATATATATATATATATATATATATATATATATATATATATATATATATATATATATATATATAAAGAATTAAAATATTACAAAACATATTAATTTCTAGCCTACATTAAGATTTAAAAACCACTGCCTTACTTTCTTCATCTCGGGAGGCTTTTTCAGTTCATTCAATTTGCTTTTGTATAATGTTATTATTATTAGCAGTATTATTTATTTTGTCCATATTTATATTTGTTTTATTAAAAACAAGCTTGGATTTGTCCACCTGTCAGGTTTTAGACCATATGGGGCACAGCATGTGCATTTGGAAATAACTCAGTATTTTAACCACACTTCGCTATTATTGTTCATTTATTCGTTTGCTGGAAATTAGAACTGAATTTAGAAATAGTTTTGAAACAAATCTTTGCTCAAAAAAAAAAAGCGAAAGTGAACTTACTTTACATCATGTAAATAGCAAATGCGCTTATGGCGAGACGCAGCTGGCTCTTAAAGGGAATGGGAGATGAGACTCTAATAGGTTTATTCTCAAAACAGACCTATAACTCATTAAGAAAATAAACTCAAACTTTTTAGACCATGCGCCATGGCGCAAAGCGGATTTTTCCGTCCTCATATTAGCACATATGGATTCTGACACTCCCT